CTCTCTCTCTCTCTCTCTCTCTCTCTCTCTCTCTCTCTCTCTCTCTCTCTCTCTCTCTCTCTCCCCCCCCTACCTGCCCTGCTGGTTACTCCAATTCATTGGTGGGGAGCAGCACCTGCTGGAAACTAGGTCCAGTGTTCCTTGATAGAGAGCCTCAAGAAGACCGCCTGCCTATGAAAAGTGCCGCCTGGCCCAAAAAGAAGGCTGTGGCGAGGGAAAAAATAGGCCAGCCCTAAGTGAAGGTTGTGCCAGGCTACACTAGGCCAGAGGATGGAGCCCAGCCCAAGTTACTACCCACCAGGCCTTGCCTCCAAGTTAGTTACATGCGCAGGACCCAGGTTCAGACAGGTAGGCAGTAGAGGGACTGCCTGCTGGGACTCAGAGCCCGGCCTACAGACAGGACAAAAGAGCGGCAGCACTGGAGCAGCGCACCATCGCCAGGTAGTGCCTCAACGAACGGAAGCAGCAGCGGCAAGCCTTGAGGCCAGAGTGTGCCATATGTGGGTAGCTTCGAGAAGGAAGCTGGGTGACGCGATGTGGGGATGATCAGGGAGAAAGGAACAGCAGTGGGAACCTGGTGGTACCTTGTGTTGGCCGAGGAGCACTTAAGTGATCAGACTCTTCGCCAATATCTGGTGAGAGGCTTGTGGAAAAAGAGAGAATGCGGAGGGGTAGACTATTGTGTGTAGAAATAGGAGAGTAGCATACGTGGACACGTCAAAGTAGGGCTACTACTACTTGGTTGTTGTTGTTGTTGTTGTTGTATAGATTGCTGGAGGAGCGAAGAGGGCTTTCATTGTCAACAGACTTCAGTGTTCATTGTGTTTCTATTTATAAAAAGGCTGACAACCTTGAGATATGTGGCCTCGCTCCGCTACTCTCGAAACGCACAAAAGACAAAAATCATGGTGGTGTATCTTTCCATGTTCTAGCGGAAGATTCACTCCCGTTTTCGACATTTTCGAGAATAGTGGAGCGAGGCCCATAATCACGGAACTGACCGGCCCTAGGTAATTCAGAATCATAGTATTTCATTCACCTGCTTCTGGTAGAAGTTTGAACTCTGCACCTGGTCTGCATTTCAACAGTTCAGGGGTATAGGCGTTGTTAGACACTCCTCGGGGACGTGATTCCAAGGATTTCGTCTTCGTTCCACCTCTCCTCGGATATGAAATCGGAAATGAAAATGTGAAAACACTCCGAGGACAAATCCTTGGGCTCCGAGGATTTCCCAGCTAAATCGTCCTCGGCTCCAAAGGACCTCGCGAGGTCCTTTGGGGCCCGAGGATCAGTGTTTCACAGAGAGGAGAGGACATGGACGTAGAGAGACGTTACAACCAAGAATTCAGATCGTGGCGGCACCCTATTGGCTGAAAGCTTGAAGCACAATTTTTTTAATTTTCTTTTCCTTTTTTTTTTCCTGACATTGCTCCCAGGATGAGTCCTAAAACAGATGCTCCGAGGATGAGTGTAACGAAGACGACAAAAACCCTAAACTTTTCCGAGGATTCATCCTCGGAGCTCGAGGATGGCCCGAGGAGTGTCTAACGACGCCCTATACCAACTGAGCAAGGTCAGTTGTTGTGTTGACTCTGTTGAGTGTGTTTCTAATTTCGTGTGTTTCGGCATTCATTTGTAGTTCTGCTTTTAAATCGACTTACTCGTGATTTGTCTCCTGTGAGCTTCTGCATCCCGGAAATTTTGGGATCGCATTGAGTTGTTCCTTGCAATTACGCCATCGAGTA